TCGGTATTTCATCTATGAATGCTGGGCTCTGAGCGTGGCCTTTGCGGTTAACACGTCTACAAAGCAAGAACTTTACACGTTGTCTGTGCAAAAACGAAAAGTTGACACGTCGAGTCGTAACTTAATGTTAAATCGGCTTACCACTCGCTTGAGAGCTGGTAATTTCAAACCACTCTTTCATGGAACTTCCTTCCATATACCGCTTCCAAGGGGGCAATGTCGAGTTTTCTCCCTCTGTCGCTCGTCGAAAACCTTCTCGGGGCGGGTGGTTGCCCTTCAGATGGACACTAAGACTGTGGCTTTAAGCTGTTCAAATATTATATAGAATTCAATTTGGAATGCTATCTGAGCATTGACACTGATTACCCAATTTTTGTTTGAAAAGATCACAAGTTCGCAATAAGTGTTTAAGCAGGGGATAGATTTAATTTTAAACTTGTCGACGTTAGCGTGAGTTTCGGGCGGGTTGCGGGGCAGTGTACCCACTGGCGCCTTCGGGGTTAAGCCCTTTAAAAGCCAATTATCAAAGCACTCTTTTGTTCCTTATCATTCAGTCCGTCTACTCGTTCCACGTGTTTCACCATCTCCACATGTGTTTCTCATATCTTACGCCTCAAAAACTTCGAAATCGCGTCACGTAATGTGGCCAAGAAGAAATGATCTAATATATAATGTATCTTGACTGAAGAGGTAATTTCAAGTAAGAACAATATGCTTCGGGTACTACAGGCGAGTCACACTAGTCCCACATGCAGTACATTGTATCAGCTACACAACTCGCAGAGTTCATTCAGCCTATAAATTAACTCATTCTATATACTGCATACAGTAATTGATATATTTTTGCATATTATTTCTGCTTATCGATTCGACTTACGAGCAGTCTAGTTGAATTACATCAGCATCGATTGTTTTTTTAGTGAAATGCAGTAAAAAAGTCAAAAGCAACCCCGATTGACTTTTTTTGGCATGAAAAGGGTATTAAAAGTGAATGTTTGAATCGATCATAAACTACGATTCAACTATTCGCAACGCGACGAGTTTAGTGAGATAGTGTATTTTTTGTTCCAGGAGGACGATGCGTAGCAACGATATGCGGCCAGCGCGTGCCCTCAAATGAAGCTCGCATTCTGCGGATCGTGGCGTATTTGCGAATGTGCGTGCGTAAGGTTGCTGAGTTAAATTTTAGCTAATGGGCTTGCGGTATGCCCATTTAAGTAGTGAATAAATGACCCGAAAGTATTAGTATGTATGGTATGTATGTATGTTTATTGCCTCACGTTATTTGATCTATGTATGTATGTAATTGGTAATGTACCCTGCTCGGAATAGCCTCATTATTTGTGACCTAAATGTCTGTCCTGATATGTATGTATGTATGTAATGTTTATGTAATGTATGTCTGTATGTTAATGATATGCCTGGATGTTATGTATGTATGTATGTATGTATTTGTACGTACGACTACGTAAAGTACGTACGTATTTACGCTACGTGTGTGTGTATGTATGTGATGTATGTATGTAATGTATGGTATGTATGATTTTATTTACCCCTAAAGCTCATGTATGATCGTAGAAATATTTGTATGTATGTCATAGCTGTATTTCTTTATGCATATCTTTATGTCTTAATGTGTCATTATGTATTTATGCATATCTTTATGTCTTGGCATCTTTATGTATCTTATGAATGACAGAATGTTAACTCAAAATAGTTTTTATTTTAATTATTTCAGAATTGACTGTTGATCAATAAAACGAGCTCTCATATCTATCTAAGATCGGGTGTAGTTGCGAATTTCTTGTCTTCGTCGGCCTCGCCACTATTCAATGTACTCTTGAACGAATGAAGAGACGCGCGGCGATTGAAGAAAAGAAGTTAAAGAGACGGACTAGCAAGTCGAGGTTTACCAGACAGATAAGAACAGGGTAATACCTGCTGGCTCAAGAGGAGGCGGCAGACGAGATAAGTAAGGAGTTCAGAAAGCTAGAGTTGGCATATACGGAATTACAAGACCGGCACGATGAATACTGTGAGACGATAGAGGACTCGGAAGCGTATGACAAGGAGGAAGAGTATTTTTAGAAATGCCTTGATGAGTTTGTGGCTGTCAAAGCTAAATTCAAGTCTGCCACCAAGAAAGTCCAACCATCTGAGCACCTACCGGGGTCATTGAATCTGACACCACCATCATCTGTTGGTTCAGCCTCACCAAGGTCACCAATTCAGAATGACAGTCAGCAAGCTGAAGCGCCGGAGTCAGCTGCTCAGCTGAACACTGTAAAACTGAAGCCAAGGGTTGAAAAACCTAAACTGCCTGTGTTTTGTGGAGATGTTCGGGAATACTGGACTTTCAGAGAAGATTTAAAACACATGGTGGACCCATTGTATGATCCCAGAGATGCTGTGTCAATATTGAGGACAATTAAGTTTGGTGGGTAAACCCCTAGACATGTTGAAGGGGATCGGAACTGACTATGCTGCCTGCTGGGAGTACCTCGACCTATATTACAGAGATCCAAGAATAATCTCAGATGCCATAACCCAGGACATTACTAAATTCAGAGTTAAGAGAAGAAGATGGTCGAGAAGATTTTGTGAGCTCACCCATCTTGTCAGAAAATGCCACAACATATTAAAGCAAGCGGGTAAAAAAATGGGGGGGGGGCAAGTGGGTCAAATTAAATAATTCCGAAAATCCCTAACCGCGCTACTCGATTGTTTTAGACAATGAACGTAGCTGTGTGTGTGACGTCTTGCCCGCGCGCTTTATGCCTGGCTTAGCGGGCCTCAAAATGGATATCGGAGGCATGCAGGCACCTCGCAACACGCGTGTTTGTTTACATATAGCTTTGTGACATACGGTGTTCGGGAATTCTGCGATGATAACCTCGTAATTTATGAGAATTTCTTAAGGTGCATGGAACATTTTACCAATTTAGTAGTGTCAGTTAGTCATGGATATGTCACAGTAAGTACTAACCGTATATGTTTAACATACGTTCACCTATTTTGCACACAGGCGGTCGATCATTGTGAAAAATTGTGTGAATATTAATTTTTATTGAGACGTTCCAAGTGCCTGTTCTTTCAACAGTCTTGTACTTCAATGCACGTGCGTCAAGAGCCAACAAAAATTAACACAATTTCATCTCTGTTATTGTTTACGCCTGAATGCGTGATTGATCAGGGAGGGGTGCATGTAGGGGGGCCTAAGAGGGATACTTTTTTGGGGGGGTTCCGAAAA